ATATCAATTTAAATTACATTTGTTAAAATGAAAGATATTTTATTTGCCATTGATGCCAATAGAGCTACAGCAGGATTCTTCAATGATCCCTGCCCTGCTATGAGGACAGGAAACAGAACTAAAGGCTAATGGAATATGTGATGGATGCTAATGTGGTAAAAAAAAAAATTTGCATCCCTCAATTTTCCTTAATGTCTTCATGCATGGTCAGGACAAGCCTGCAGCTGATGTCAGAAAGTCCGGGTCATGAGGCACGGATGGAGTGTCAATACATCTCAAGGCACAGACACACAGAACCAGTAACTTAGAACCACTAAGTCATATAAGCCATGTGTCACTGCACTCATAATAAACTGGATTATCCAGTGGAGACCCATGCAAACGCATGAGGATTATGCAAACTACACACACTGAGCCAGGGCAGGAATTAAACCTGTAACCCTGACAGTGGGAGGTCACAGTGCAAGGAATAATTATTATGAAACGTCGCCGTTTGGTATAGCACCACTGTGGAATAACCAGAAGATGCTCCAGACTCTTGATGAACTCACCTTTGGGACCATGGCCACAGCCAGGTGGCCTTCTTGTAGAGGCTGCAGGACAGAGGACAGCAGAGAATCTAAGCATGTGCAAGCATGGCTGGAAATGTAGTATATAATGCAAAACAGGCTCAGAGACCTATGCAGACAAGCAGGTAGATATAGTTTAATAAATATACACATACTGTCTCTATCCACAGAAAAACAGCATGACATGAAGTAAACTTCTGGACCGTAGGTGTCAGAGTAATAACTGCCACATAATTATTATAAACTCACATATAAGTTACATATAAGCCTACTGGGTAACATTTTACTTGATTGGGCACAAAAAATATAGTATTATGCAATTACTTATGTATTAATTACCCACAAACTAAGTCTTAGGTACTGATCTGATGCCCATTCATCATTAATGAAACATGATGCATGTTTGATGCATTTATAATGTACCTTTTAAGATTCATAAATGGACTATGAGGAACATTTTTGGACATTGATGTTGTTTGTACCTTGGGGATGTTCCTCAGAGTCCATTTCTGTACCTTAAATTAGACTAAAAGGTACATTTACCTACAGCTAGGGTACAATTGGCAGACCCTTGAGGGTACAGCCCCAGTGACAAGCAAAGGTACAAATCTGGCCAATGTTCTGCTGGGAAACCTTGGGCTTTTGGATTCATTTAGATGTTACTGCAACACGTACCACCTTCCTATACATTGTTGCAGACCAAATAAACCACTTCATGGCAACAATATTCCCCGGTGGCAGTTTCCTTCTTCAGCAAGATAATGCACCCTGCCACACCACAAAACATGTTCAGGAATGGTTTGAGGAAACATGAAAAATAGTTCAAGGTGTTGAAATGGCCTGCAAATTCCCCAGATCTCAATCCGATCGAGCGTCTGTGGAATGTGCTGGACTGACAGGTTCAACCCATGGAGGATCTGCTGCTAAAGTCTTGGTGTCAGATACCACAGGACACCTCCAGAGGTCTTGTGGAGTCCATGTCTCGACGGGTCAGAGCTGTTTTGGTGGCACGAGGTGGACCTACACAATATTAGGCAGGTGGTTTTAATGTTATGGCTGATATGTACCATGCATTTGTCTTACATATTGCAAAAACCTCCTCATGCAAAATTAAAGCCCTGTATCACTCAATGTCATGAATAATTAAATGAATATTCCTTCTGAGGCACAGTATGGTCTTATCAGCAAAGTTGTTTTCGGTCATAATAATTACAATGTCACTAGATGGCAGTGTTAAACTACCATAGTATTTTTTTCTAAATGATTATAATCACAGTTGTATAGCATTTGTGCATTTCATGAGTTACAATTCACTTAGAAAAATGTTTAGATTTCTCAAAGACCACCAATAGCACTGCTGAATATTTCCCCAAGGCTGAATTTTCTAAACATTTATGGGTGTTATAATTCTTGGGGTAGAAATATTCTAATAATGCATAGCTAGTTTAATTATGTCCCCAACATTAATCACCATCCTCCTAAAACCTAATAAAGATAAACTGGAGAACTGTTAAAAACATCTCAAGTAATGAGGAATAAACATAGCATTTTCTTCACTATATGATTACGTCATGAAATTCAAAAGGCAATATGGACAATATTTGACAGAAAGACAGCATTTGTTAAAGGTAGGGATCAGTGGTGGCTGGTGGTCTTTCAAACAGGGGAAGCTGGCTAGTGCGCCCCCCCCCCCTCCCCCGCAACCTAGGTTGAAACACACTAACTTGATATTTGAAATCCCAGTATACTGTATCTCAAAGAAATAAACCAGTATTTTGCATACTGATCACATTCAAATGAACAACAGTTTAAAACCACAATTAAACACAATGACGCCACGTAGACGGACGCACTCTTTTCCCATGGTTGCCAACTTTGATCAGCTGGATGGAGTAAGATTTTCAATTTGAGACAAGTCTGCAGTGCTTTGCTGCACTGAAAACAGAAGCGCCATTGAAGTGCAGTGAACCTGCACTTCAATGGGATTTATTGGATCGTGCCGCCAAGGGAATGTAATGTATGAGAGAAAATATCACATTATACGACTTATTAATTAGAATTATTGCTGATTCTGAACAAACTAGCCATGAAATTGAGCACATTCTAGGGCGCTCTTTGCAGTAGCTATGTAAATACAACTACATATTTGACAACATTTTTCGTGACATTTTAGAGAAGTGAGGGCTGAGTGATCTGCACCGATAATGAGAAATTTGCTGGTTTGAATCCCGTGAATACTAGGAGTGATTCTACTCCGTTTGGCCCTTGAGCAAGGCCTTTCATCCTGGGTATGACGTTAACCTACCGTACATCCAGCCCTGCAAGCAGGTACTCCAACTTCCAGGGAACTTTGGCGAGTTGGTGGCAGGACTGGCACTCCAACCACCGGAAAAAAACCTCTCAGTGTTCCATTCCATTCAAACTAGGGTGATGCTGAGGTATCACCTGTCACACAGTTGTATTTATTTTCTCTGAGGTGGTTCTCCATGTGGTGGGGGTGGCAACGACCTCGAATAGGCCGACTACGTGTTTTAGCTGTGGAATTAATACACAATTTTATTTTAAAAGCCAGAGGAAATACAAGATCTAGACAATTTAAGTCCATTTGTAAATAACAATGATTTATTATTGAAAATAGTGAAAGGATTTGAATATTTTTGATAAATTACATATTTGTTTCTAAGGCATCTGGACTAACCCTAAATTTGGGGGAAAATTGAGATCCTAACATTGATCAAATCGTAGAATTAATCTTTTAGATGAATAAACTCAAAAGAATCAATTAACTAAAAAGAATTAAGATTTCCATCTCTAACAGCACCGTGGTTATGTGGCGGGGGGGTTAAAATGGGCCCTGGGTGGTTCTTCGGTCTGTTTGTTAATTGCGTGATTATACTGTCAATGAGTGATTATGTTTGTTCACCGAATTATTCATCGGTCGAGTTGTTTACTGCAGTGGTTCTTTGATAACTCAGTAACTCTTCATTCAATAAATGCATGGTCTTTCAGTTTTTTCAGTGAGTCCTGATTTGTGTTTGGTTGTTGGGTGTGAAAAAAATCATTTGAAATCATGAAGGTAAGAACTATTGTTAAACAAATTGTGAACATTGCTGACTATTTACATCTTGCAAGTTCTTTTCTGTGTGCTGGTTATTGTAAAATCTCAACAGATTAATGTTGAAGAGACCTCCATAATGATTTCCATTCGGTTTTTTAAACGAATCTTTTAATGAATGGAATGATCTCAGTGGTGAACGGGATGATCTAGTTCACTGATCCAAAAACACAAACTGACAGAACGGAGGGGAAAGTAATAGATTATGAACGGGGGGCAGGGGCAGAAAGAACGTGGTTCACACGTGCACACAGCTGCAATCCGCGACTTGCTCAATTTATTGTCGTGGAAAACACTGACAAATGAACATACAGCCTTCATTACTGAAATTGCCCTTCAAAAACATTTTTCAAATTTTCCGTTACCAAGAATAAATGTCTCCAGAACAATGTAATCTTGGAACATCTCAACTAATTCATCGTACCACTGAACTCCTGTCTTCATTATTAACTATTCCTTGATCATGGTTTCTTGGCGGAAGAGTTCCTGTATTTTACATGTGTTTATTAGAACCTAGTCTTTGTGTTTTTGATTTGACTAGGTTTTCTGAGGTATATGGTCTAAACAACATTTTGTGCAGTTCTTATTTCAACGCTAACGTACACAAGCACAAACTAAGGACACTTGTATCTAGTTGTTTCCCTGACAACTGTATGTTAATTTGCGGTGCATTATCTGCATCCCATGTATGTCGCTTTGAACAAAAGTATATAGCCTACTAGGTAAGGTAAAGTATATGTTCGATACAAAATGCAAAAAGGGAAACGACATTGATTCCCCATTCATTTAAGTTTTTTCATTCTAGAAGAAACAAAATTATTAATATTTTCTCTGAGAATAGAGAGAAGGAACAGAAAAATGTGTGCAATAAAATGTGCAAATACATAAGTGCCTGTATTAACGGGTAAGTTAAAACAAGATAAAATACAACATCAGTGAAAAGACACACACCCTTCACAATGTCATGTTGAGTCTTCGGCAGGGTCTAGGAGTTCACACTTTATTTCAGCGAACTTTCGCATAAGTAGATCCTGCAAAGGTTAGATTGTTGGTCATCTGTGTTGTTCTATACTATGATAAATCTTGGTGAATGTCAATACAATGACAATAAATAATAAAAGACCATTAAAGAAGAAATAAAATAATTGGAACAATTAATTGAAGAGATCCTCTGGAACGGAGCGCCGGCAATGAAGACATTTGTAAATCGATTATGAACTCTGATCATTCGGGTGAATGACCTTAAAAAACTCAATTTATTGAAGCGTAAATCAGCAGAATTCTCCGAGCGGATGTGACGATAGTGCCCCGGAAGCGATTTGAGCAGTTTGGAACGTAAACATTGGAGCAGGTGGGAGGGAAGAAGCGCAAGGAAAACAAGACGTACTGTCTCTACGTATAGCCGGTTTTAGGCGACAGACTAGTTAAGAAAATCTTACAATTCGGTGGGATTTGATTGTTTCTTTGTTTGTAGTCATCGACCGTTTCGTGCTGTTGTTTCGGTTTGCTGTATTTTGAAAAAGGTGATTGGCTTGTGGGTTGTAATAACAGGTGCAGTAGTCGAGTAGTACTTTGTAGGTTGCTGATATCTCTGAAATAAATAATATTTTTATGCTGAGGTGTGTCTACGGGCAATCTTGTTACGTTTTATTTTACGCAGTAGTTACAGAGACGATATGGTCTGGGTTAAGTAATTCTTGTGGATATATTTTGAATGTTTTGCTTTCTCTTTCTGATGTCGGTATTGTTAAAACTTTAAAAACTTACTATGTGCTGGTGGCATTCACACTTTACGATTGTTTTGATGGTATTTTTAATCATTGGCTGGTTTTTGTTCCAGTCAGATAAATACATGGAGAACTCTCCATTAAGTAATGCCTAGCTGCAGTAATCTCGCTCACTCAGTACAGCTACATATTTGTCAGAACTACAGATGCCGTGGCGAGTATTTGTTTGTTCACCTGTCATTGTTCAATCAGGAAATGTGATGAGAGCCACCGTGGGCAGTGGGGCAGTTCGACTGATGTGACGAACGATGGCGGAGGGTGCGGAGGCCGCCCAAGCAGGCCGGTGCAGCCGGCAGGTGTACCGAAGCCACGCCCACTCGCAAGGTGTGCTGACCGGACTGCTGTCACTCAGGGATTCGGGCGCCCTGTTTGACGTCACGCTTCTGGTGGATGGGCGGCCTATCCAGGCCCACCGGCTACTGCTGGCAGCTTCCTGTGACTACTTCAGGTAACTGGCAGGCCTTTTTCACTTCCTTGTCCTTGGCTCATTCCTTCACACTTAAGCCAGGTGACTTAAATCTACTTACTATTCCATCTCACTATTATATCCTATGTGTCCTCTTGATGCACAATTTTTTCCCTCTGTTTCTGGTTCACCTTCATCCTAACATAGTTGCATGTCACACTTGTGTATCATGTTTTGTTGTTCATTGTGGGCAGGAACTGTCCTTACATGAGTTTTGTTTCCTTCAGGGGCATGTTTGCTGGAGGACTACGGGAGATGCATGAGCCGGAAGTGCCCGTGCGTGGGGTGTCATACGCGGCCATGACCAAGCTTCTGGACTTCATCTACACTGCCGAGCTTCAGCTTGACCTAGACAGTGTGCAGGAGGTCCTTTGTGCAGCTAGCCTGCTGCAGGTAGCATCTGCGCTTTATAAACATTAGGAGCAAAAAGTAGTAATTTAAGAGTTGGACCAATAAACAAAAGCTTTCTGGAGTGTGAGGTAGATCAGTCACACGTGGACACATCAGAATCACTTTTATGTGCCAAGCACTTGAATAGTATGTGGAAGGATTTTTGTCCTGGTATTGAATTTAAAATGAAATGAAAATTAAAATGCACTTGGGTCAGTGGTTAGTTCTGGCACCTTCCAAACACATAGTGCCGAGTTTGAGTCCTCCCTCTCAGCATCTTCTCTGAAAGTTATTAATTGGGGGTGTTTGTGGCTCTACACACAGACACATTTATACGTTCATGTAACTGAACATAAAGATGACAGTTAAGGAGAGATGCATCAATAGAGTTAATAATCGGTCAACATTGATGCCGTCTGGGAATTGGAGTGGATGATTTGTCCATGGTGCTCATAGCCTGGAGAAAAAAAACCAGACAAAATCCAAATGCTGTTTAGTTTTGGTTTAAACAGCTTGCAGCCGACTGCCAGAGCAGGGTTCAGCAATGATCTTTTCAGTCTGTGTCTTTGCTCCAGCCTTGTGCAAATCAGCAACTGACAGAAAGCAACTGATATTCTTCTCTGCAAACTGTAACTTTTAAAAGCTTGCGGTGGTGGGTAGATGCCATCTAATGACATTCTTGTCCCACTTGAGAACCTGTGATATGGTGGTCCCTGGGAATTTAAACTATTTATCTCTGCTTACAGTAGAACCATTTATTTCTGAGGTGGACGCAGAGAGTTTTGTTTTCTGAAGTCGATAGCCATTTCCGGGCTCCCTAGAGATCCCTGAGTTCCATGTTACGGCAGCTATTCCAGGACACAAGATGGTTCCCCTCTACCCTGTGTGACTCATCATGACTGGAGGTGAACCCAGTCCAGGGTGTCATTTGCAAATGTGAGAAATTTCACAGATGGCATCTTTTAAGGTGCAGTCATTATTATATATGGAGTAGGGCACTCATCCCCGGGGAACACAGGGTGGTCTGGGAATCGTTAACCCAGCCAAACTTGTAGATCCACCTGCAGATAGGTTTGCATACATTGACTTGCCCTAGTTTAGTTAACAGTACTTCCATGACTACAGTTAAATGCAGAGCTAAAGTCCATACAAACACAGGTAGCTGAGCTGTCCAGATGCTGCAGGATGTAATGCAGGCCTTCGTGAACTGCACTGTCTGTGGATCTGATTTTTGGTAGGCACACTGCAGATGTGCAAGACAGGCTTCAGGGGTGGGGAAAATCATTTTCTGGTACTACATTATAATTATAATTTTGGATTAGGCCCTAATTCAGATTAGAAATACCAATTCATTGGTAAATTGGCATTTTCCTTTTAGCGCAAGCTGCAATGCAGTAATGGTAATGTTTGTGGTCTGGGACTTGTAGCAGTCAGCCACTGTGCTGTCCACAAGCATACGGCTTACAGGAACCATGACATTGGGTTCTTCTAGGTTAGCTGCCTATTATTAACCTCGGGAGCGAAGAACGTAACGTGAGCAGTAAACATTTTGCCTGCTCAGCATTAAAGCATTTGGGTTAATTCTTGCATTGTCCCTTCACTTTACAGTGATAATTGGATTACTCACATATGCTGCTAGCATTTTGCTAATCATATGCTCCCCTGGATGTTTATAGCGTTTCCTTTTTGTTAAGGATCAGCCCTTAGCTTATTTGCATCATTATAATTGCATGCATAATATTAAAATAACTTTTCTTGTGGACCGTTGAAAAACATTATTTACATGCACATGCAAAGTCCAACAGGGGACCAACCGGCCTGATGGGACTGGCATGATAGGGAGGATGATTTGAGATGTTGGCTGTACATCGATATACAATACATCAATATCTTAGGTCAGTGTTTCCCAATCTGGTCCTCGGGGATCCACATTCGGTCCATGTTTTGCTCTCTACCAGACATCAAGGGAGGGAGGGAGCAAAAACCTGGACTGTCTGTGGGTCCCCAAGAACTGGGTTTGGAAACACTGGGTAATACAACAAAATGGCAATAGGATGTCAAGTAATCGAAGGGAAGAGTTTTTGTGAGTGACTGAACACTGCTAGGGAGGGGTTTAGTCCCACAGCTCTCATTAGACGTAAGCCATGGGGAAGAAGCATAAAAGCACTTAGTTTTATCTAGTTTTCTGGAACATATTGGTCCTCTTTGTTATTAATCGCTGTTCCTGATTCTTAAACAAAATTTGCATTTTGTTCGTCATAATCAAGCCATTGTCCATGTCCATGAGAACAGTCAATAGCAGCTGCTGTTACGAGTTACAGAAAACAGATCTTAGAAATGCACAAGCCTTTGATGAGGCTGCTTGCGGGAACTGTGTGTAGTTTCTGTGAAGCCCAAAGCAGGAAGCGTGATACCAGAGGCACTTCAGGGCGCCAGTTTGTACCCGAGCGGAAATGCACTCGTCTCTGTTTTAGTCACAGCCTCTTTGGGGTGTGACTGACTGATTTGTGTTTGTATATGACTGTTGACCAACTGTCTGATTTGCGTGACTCTGTTAATTGAACATAAAGGAGACTGTGTATTTATGGAGAAACACATTTTTTTTTGGGGGGGGGGGGGGGTTTAAATAAGTTAACTAACAGTGTTGTTTTTTTTTTTTTGGGAGGGGGGTAAAACATTAAGTAACAGTGGACCACAATTGGGGATTAATCATATTTGTGGCTGTTGCATTAAGATCCATTTTCTGGGTTACTTTTCTGCATTCATGAGGTAACTGGCTTCTGCTGCATTTGGTCAGTGGCCCATACCTTAACACCAGTTTTCAAGCATTTATTTTTTTTAGATTCAGCAAGTTCTTGGTTTCACCTTTGCTTGGTCAGGAACCCTTAACACCTGTCATCTGGAATAATTCTCTAGATTTAGGAGTTACTGGCTGTTTCTGTGTTCAGTCAATGACCCCTACTTTAAGACCAGTTTTCTGGATTTATTTCCTAGATTGAGGAGGTTATTGGCTTCTGCTGTGACTTCCTCTTCTCTTGGTTGGATGATGAGAACATCCTGGAGGTGTACAAGCTGGCTGACATGTACAATCTGGAGCAGCTGGGGGCCAGGGTACACTCTTACCTCCTGAAGAACATCCAGACCTTTTCCCGGACGTCCGTCTATCGCCAGCTCCCTTCAGAGAAGGTCTTTGGCGTGCTCTCCAGTGATGATCTTGAGGTCGACTCTGAGAACGAGGTGTACGAGGCAGCTCTGCACTACCATTACAGCCCTGAGCAGGTGGAGACGGACCAGGTGTGCTTACAGGTACAGCCACCTGGGGGAGCCACACTCTTTTTCAGAGCAATATTATTTCATATAGTCCTTGTTCGTACTGAGATCAGACAGCTAAATGTGCTGGCATAAGCAAGACTTATGTTCTGCCCATGTAAATAAATACCACCTATAAGCTAATTCTACTAGAATATACTAGAACGAACTTTTATTAAGTAGAATCTTGTTTCTATTATAGTTGTGCTTTTGTCAAAGCTTCTCATGTATTTCTTGTGCTGTTTAGGTTTAGCCAGGGAATGTGTGTATTTCAGCTTTTAGTTCCCTCCCTCTCATTTGAGGAGAAAAAAAATACAACAGGTGTGATGTAAAGTTAAGGAAATATTTGTGAAAGTCCGCTGTCCTTCTGCTTGCGGCTTTTTGTGTACATTTTAAAAATGAAAATGTTTGTGACTTCATTTGAAAGTCCTGATGCGATCATAGCTGATAGCGATGCAGGAAACAAGCCGTTGAGTCTAAGTCAAGTGAAGGCCATTGTTGCAGGATTTACTGTGAACTGCCAAGAATTCCCTGTATTATCCCAGTCAGTGCACGAAAACTCCATCTACTATGGAATTTATTTGTACGATAACTTTTAGTAATAATAATAATGAGTTGATATAGTTATTGAATGATCATTGATCATTGTTAAGCTCTTAATCTGGAGTGAGCAGGGTGCCACAGTAGTTAGGAATCCTTCAGCACAGCACAGCCAGTGGGAGGCGGGGTGACTCAGAAGCTCCTCCCCCCTGCCTCCCCAGGACCCACTTCCGATGCTAGAGGCGGTGCGCTTCTGCCTGATGGAACGTCCGGTGCTGCAGCGCCTCCATGAGCGACTGAGGAACTGCGTGCTGCGGGAGCGTGTGGCGGCGGCACTGCGCTACCATGCGCAGGAGCTGTGGCAGCCCGTCCTGCAGGGGGCGCTCACCCAGCCGCGCTCCCGCTCACGTTGCATCCTGGGCTTCGGTGGCATGTACTCACCAGATTCCGTCGCCCACGCCGATGAGCTCCAGGTCTTCCATCCGTCCTGGGGCGAGTGGAGGACCCTGGCCGCCCCTCATGCTCCCCGCATGTCTAACCAGGGCATCGCCGTGCTCAACAACTTTGTCTATCTTATCGGTGGGGACAAGAACACCAGCAGCTTCCGTGCTGAGACTCGCTGCTGGAGGTGAGGGCCTCTTTCATCTGAAGAAGTCATATGTTCCAGAGTTGACTGTCTAATCAGATTTCATGTAGAGCCTACCTTATCCACTTATCTCTTAACTCCTACCCCTGCCCACCCAAGGTACGACCCCCGTCACAACAGCTGGTGCATCATCAAGCCACTGCAGCAGCAGCACGCGGACCACTGCGTCTGCGTGGAGGGGGGGTACATTTATGCCATTGGAGGCCGTGACTACAGCACCGAGCTGGACTGCGTGGAGCGCTACAGCCCCAGCACCAACACCTGGGAGTTTGTGGCCGGCCTCCGGCGAGAGGTCAGCTGGGCGCTTGGCTCGCAAATCGTTTAGCTGATGAGGTTGAAATCTGGAGATAGATTTTCCATCCATTTGTACAGCAGTAAAATTCTGTTTTCCGTCTCTAGATTACTGCATTGATAGAGAGACACTGTGCCGTAGTGAATTTTTAACATCAGATAATTAGGGCACAGAGTGGCTGACCATAGCATCACTTGTTCTGGGGAAGTCAGTGGTTTCCTGTATTGGTTTTTGTAAACTCAGGGGTAAATTCTCTCATGGTTTTTGCCTCTGATGAAATGACAGTAAAGATCTGTCTAAATGGACAAAAAACCCTGTGGATGATAGAGAAGATCCCTTGTTCTTCTAGGCCTCCACTAGATGGTGTTGGAATTGTGCAGACGGCAGCTTCGTCACTGTCCCCCGATGGACACGGAACACGTGGTTTTCGTGAAGTATAGGCTGAAACAAAGGCCACTCACAGAGTGTTTTCGTGTGGGAGACATAACCGTGTCTGGCAGCTTCTGAGACCACAACACATTATGTCCCATAACACTCAAGATATACAGCTACAGAAGAAAAACAAGAGGCTGCCCTATATTTTTAAACAAATCTGCAGTTTTAAATCCTGGTTTAATCCTGGTCCTGCTAACAGAAGGCCAGGTTGCTTCCAGGTTCAAAATTTCTAAGACAGCATTGCACAAGAATAAGGTGAAGCAGGAGTCACTGGGAACGACCATAAACCAGCCAGGTAGAGGGCGAAAGCAACATTTTAATGGCAGCAATGACTGTTAACTTATACAACAGTTTCTTATGAATTGGAGGATGACATCAAGTGACTTTCAAAAGGAATGAGAAACATTAATTGCAGGTGTGAAGTGCACTGCTAGGATAGTTTGTATCAGGCTTCTAGAGGCAGGACTTAAGTCCCATAAAGCAAAAAAAGAGGCCTTCATTAATGACAAACAGAGAAGACCCAAGCTGCAGTTTGTATATATGTAAATATATGCAGTTTGTATATATATAAATAAAATTCACAGACGCACCCATAAATTGAGAAATGTGTGAAACAGTTGTGCTGTGGTCTCTTAAATTTTTCTGCGGCTGTAGAGTGATCTGGAAATGAATGTTTTTATTATGAGGCTGAAATCATGGAAACCTGAATCTGGAGGAAAAAAACCACCTTATGTCTTTTGACACAAACGCTCTGACTTTCACTTGGTCCAGGTGTACGCACACGCGGGGGCCGTGGTGGACGGGAAGATCTACATCACGTGTGGCCGCCGCAGGCTGTCCTACCTCAAGGAGACCTACTGTTACGACCCCCAGGCCAACAACTGGACGGGCCGCGCCGAGGGCCCCGTGGAGAGGGCATGGCACGGCATGGCAGCTGTGGGGGGGCGGGCGTATGTCATCGGGGGCAGCAATGATGAGCGAGGCTATCGGCGTGATGTCCTCAAGGTACCCCAGCACTTTACTACAGGAATCTGAGTCTGTGACTAATGGAGCTTTTCCACTTCCATCAAGAACCGAACTGTACCGCAAAATGACGACCACAAGTGTGACTAAACAAAACCGGTTGCATTACCACTATCTGATTGGTCGAAATACTTGTGATCTGTGTCCATATCCATGGATTATCTAAAGGATTAAAGGGCATATTCTGTCTACTATTCATTATTAGTAGTATTGCACATTGTGATGCATTGATGCACTCCTGATAACTCAGAAAATTTCCAATTTACGAATGCTAATTCCACCAGCATTTGATGCTAACATGAGATAGCGAATCTCACAGAAATACTAGCAGAAATTAGCACATAGTAAATCATGATGTACACCATGTAGACCGTAGATAAGTGTCTCTTCGGTTTTACATCACTGTCTCACTCCAAACCCTGAGCCAACCCTTCTGCACTCTAAAACCGAAGCAAGCTGGAACTGTGCTTTAACTAGTCTCTTTTTGCAGTACGGCTCAGTTCCTTTACGCCAGTGGAAAAGTGCCTTAATTGTGAGTGGTTTAACCTGTGTGTGGGAGGGTAAGTTCATTGTGAGAATGTCATGTGACCTTATGGTGTTGTATCAGTGGGTAGTATCAGTGTGCAGCAGTATGGTTCATTGAGAGGAATAATCTCACTCTGTGATTACCAGTTATAGTGTCTTTGTACAATTGCAGAGGAAATCTTCGCATATGCCTGTGCCCTCTTCCCCCAACAGGTGGCATGCTACAACGCAAACGCGGACAGCTGGTCGTTGGTGAGCCCGCTGCCAGCAGGGCACGGGGAGCCGGGCATCGCGGTGCTGGACGGCTGCATCTACGTGCTGGGAGGCCGCTCGCATGATAAAGGCAGCCGCATGAAGCACGTGCACGTGTACGAGCCCTCGAGCGACCGCTGGGAGAGCGGTACCGCCTTCGAAGAGCGTGTGTCGGGCCTGGCCGCTTGTGAGCTGCTGGTGCCCCGCTCCACCCTGGCCCAGGCCCGTGGCTGGGGGCAGCGTGCCAAGGCGTCGTGGGAAGACCCGGACTTCGACAATTCCGACGACTCCAGCGATGACTGACGCGGTGCTGTGGCAGCGGACGAAGATTTGAATGCTCATGCTTCAGCCATATATAATGAGGGGCTGTTATGGGAAGGTCCTGGCAGTTCAGGCAGTACGGCTTGCAGGGGGAAGTTTGTTACATTGCGTTAAATGATATTATTATAATTATTATAGCACAGACTTTATAGCCCATAATTTTATTAATGTAAATCCATGGCCCTCCCCCGGCATGCACATACAGGCACACCTGTGTGATTCAGGGTTAACTACTGCTGTTTCATTTCAGAAGATTGATACCACTTAAGGAAACACTGGCTTTGTACAAAAGTCCCAGCAGATGCACCAAAACACAGGGGCTGCTGACTTTCCCAGTGCCCTCTCCAGTTAAGGTGAGGCAGACCACAAGCTGGCACAGACCTCCCACATGCAGACCTCCCACACGCTGACCTCCCTGGATCTTGCAAGGCCCAAACCCACATCTGCTTCACTAATGGTTCTTGGCTTGCTCTCTATCTTCTTTTCAGCATGTCTTTTTCCCCCCTTCCTTTTTTTTTTTGAGGAACTCTCTCCCTGCTTGTCTCTTCCAGGCTGTGTGCCCATCCCTCTCTGTTCGAAGCCAGGCTCGGTGCTGGGGGAGGATGAGGTTGTTTGTGTCGGGTTGGGTGAAATCAAGGAAACTTCTAGAAAGGCCAAAACATCCTCATTGGTGCAGGTTTTGAGAATTTCTCTGAAAACCTGTTTTGCCATTGATGTGGGGGCGGCTACCTACACAGCATCTTACACAAATAAGGGACGATGCCAACGGGCCCTTGTGTCAAAGTACCGGAAAGGGGGGGGCGGAGTAGAATCAGTGCTTTTGTGGGATTTTCCAAAGCAAGCACTTGGGGAAGATAACTGTGGTCTACAATGCTCAAATCTTTAGATGTTATCCTTCTGCATGAACAAATTTAGTTTCTTCAGAAGGGTGGTACTAGTTGTGGTGTGAACTTGGGGGGGGGGGGCTGAAATCAATTTATTGAGCTGTCATCGATAGAAAACTGCTTTATCAGCAAAGTTCTGACTGCTCAGTGGAAAGCAGCTGCAATTAACACCACTGGCAACTAACTGGATGACATGACTTTCCGTGGCAGAGCTGTAAGTGCTGTTTGTTGGTTCCCTTTATATTCCCTGTCCCTGGAGTCACCGTCGGCCTTCCAACTCCGGAAGGATGTTGGCTCTAGAACAGGCAGCTATGGGCAGATAGGGATTGAGGAGTTGATGTACATTTTATAAATGGTTTTTCATTTATTTTCTCGTGCCTTATTTTCAGAGTTGTTCTCGAGAACGCCACACTTCAAAGTTTCCATATTACACACAGACGCTCCTCTACTTACGAATGAGATGCGTTCGGAATGGCCGTTCGTAACTTGAAATGTTCGTAAGGCGTTATTGAACATCATTTTAAGGGTATACGCAAATACAAAGAACTAGGATGCTGGGAGTACGCATCCTACGCAACGGCCAGAAGTTGTACTAGGCGGAACTGGCGCGCAGAAAAAAAAATTGTTGCGGACAGGAAACGGGAGCCCAAGGAACACAGTTTGGACTTACAGTCCTTTTTGTTCGTGTGTCTGAAAGTTCGTAAGTAGAGGAGCGTCTGTATACACTTTCATTTATCTTATCTCAGGTGAGGCAGAGTTAAATTGCTGGGTTCCGTTGCATTTTCTGAGCACTGATGGCAGCACCGCACAGGTGTTCACTCCTGGGATCATCTGGACCCAGCCAAATCTGAGGCGGCTAACCCTATGAAGCGGCAGACTAGCTCCAGTTAGCTGTGGCTACCGTGCAGCCGGCGGTGATTTAGAGTGGCCTTCAACAGTCTGCTCTTTTGTGAGTCTGAGCATCCGTGTTTGGAGAGTGCCCTGGTCCCGTTGGATGGTGGGTGGACGTGGGTAACCCAAGAGAGCACTGACAGGGCTGTGTACAGGTTAAGGAACCACATTTAATTTGATCTCCCAAGCCGCTCATCTATTTTCACATAAAAGCTATAGGGAATCTGAAATCTAGGTCATTGTGGCCTACTTTTTTTTTTTTTCGGTCTATCCCAGGCTGCCCTACACCCTCCCATCCCCACACATCCAAAGTCTCCAGTTGAACTAGAAGCTTAATCTTCCAGAACTTTTCCTGTTTCACAGGCAGCTGTTGAGGGCACAGCAACATCACATTTGCCAAGCTTTCACTGTGAAGATAATGTGCTTCTCCCAGTCCATGCCTTTATGTCATTGTTTTTGATGGGTATGAGCTCTCATTGCTGCCTTTCAATCCCCCTCTTTGAAGGCCTTTATTTCTTTCAAATTTAAAATCGCTTTTATACAAGTCCTGCCCTGAAAATGCATTTTATATCAGGTAAAAAAAATGAAACATTATTGATTTTATGTATAAAATTGTTAATGTTGATTTTTGAAATGAGGCTGTTGACAAAGAAGGTTGATTATCTGATTAATTAATTGCCTGCCCTCATCCACAGATCAAAATCTGAAATGGAAAAACAACAACAAAAAAACACTGTGCTTAAGTGGCTTTGTTTACTTTTACACTGTTTATTAATGTTTTAAATAATAAAAAGGTTTATCCTACTGCAAATGGTATTCCTGTGTGAATCCTGCTTTAAAAAGAATCCTAACAACAGCCAGAACCATGGATTCATCATGCAGAATATTCTGGAATGAACTAGGTTCCATGTCCAAGTTGAAGAGGAGAAAAAACGATTAAAAAAAAAAAAAAAAAACTTACCGTGCCTCTTCTGTGCTTTAGAGCATCCACTTTAGTCTGAAACCTCATGTAATTGCAAGGAGCTCCAGGTCACACAAATTAGTTTTGTTCTGTTCAGTCCATTAAAAGTATATTAGTCTAAATCTCATCTCAGACACCATTACTCCAAACGAGAAATGAAGGTGTCATTTTTCAACCCTAAATGTTTCCTTATGGTGTAAAATGTATATGAGTTCCAGTTTTTTTGTTGCGCTCCTGTTTTTTTAATCGCCTTGAATGCCGTAACCTCATTCTAGGAAAACAAAATGAACAGCTTAAATCTGGCGTATAGCTAATACTACACTGCCCGTTCTGGGCTATATGTGCCTTGTCATGCATGTAATCCACGTACCGCATTAGTATCAGTCTCTTAAACATCATTAATGTAATAGGTAGCCTTGCGGGAAGGTGGATCCTCTCAGATTGATGTGTGGCGTGCTGTCTGTGACGTGACTTTCTTGAGAAATGGGGAGATATTTGCCCTTCGCGAAAAGCTACCAGCTGGGTAACCCAGCTTGTGTATGCTGAAGCCACTTCAATGGCACTCGAGTCGCCGGAAGGACGCCGAGAGCGATTTTCTTATACTTCCTGACCATACAGATTAATATTGTATTTCACTTGGCTTCTTCTTCTCTTGGCCTTGGTGCTCACTGTTTTTTGATTCCCCTTCTGGAAAATGTGGCTCCTACATGCTAATAGAACACTAATGAATACATGCAGTAAAGGATGAACCGTAACTTTCCATTCATTTATCTAAGTCATATTCATAATTTAAAATCTCTTTATAAGCACCTCCGTGCAAATGCTACTAATGTGACAGGGTGCTTCTTCATTTTAATTGCTTCTCTTTAATTTTGAGCAGGAGTCTCTTAACCCCTAAATGCCAAAGTGGAAATCAGCTCCACAAATAAACAAATTAAAACCATGTAAAATTATATAAATGACAGCACTGATAATAGTGCTGTGTTAAATAAATAACCTATTGAAGTTTAACTAGGGTGGGATGGTGGTGCAGTGGTTAGCACTGTTGCCTCCCAGCAAGAAGGTCCTGGGTTCGATTCTTGGGTCACCCAGGGTGCCTTTCTGTGTGGAGTTTGCATGTTCTCCCTGTGCATGCATGGGTTTCCTCCGGGTGCTCCACTTTCCTTCCGCAGACATGCCCGATGATGCTGGGATTGGCTCCTGCAACCCAGATGGCTAAAGTGGTATAGCTGATGGATGGAAGTTTAACTAGATTTTCTTGAATTAAATTCCTTTCTCTTAAATCCAAAATGAAATGTTACATCTTGTTGCCGTCAATTTCAATCCTGATAACTGAGTCACAGTCAACTGGCAGATTTCGGATCAGTGCAGAATTGAACTGCAGCCAAAAGATAAGGATAGTCCACCATGATATGAATCACTGCTGCGATGAGTAAGAGCTTATAGATACACAAGAAGGAAACAGGGTGCCCAAAAGCGGCAGCTCCGTCATGCAATCGAGCTTTTGAAACAGTTGTGAAAGAAAAGTAGTGAACCGGTTCCCTGAAACCATTTACAGTATGTATGCTTCATTCATTGTGCTGAGGATATTATTCAAAAAAGACCCATCGAACGTAAATCCACTCATCTATCTTGCAGGGCCTGGAACTTTTCCCAGGAAGGACAGCACTCAAGGCAGGGGACGTCCTGTATGCCATGCCAGTTCAAAGAAGATCAAACCCACTGTTGTTAACTAATGACTGCCTCGAAATAATACCAAGGGCACATTCTGCATGCATTTTAGTGTACAGCATACGGTGACCATACTCTGCTTTCTGAAAAACACATCGGGGGCAGGATGCAAAGCAATGCAAATATGCACACAAAGTATTCTGACTGTAGAAAACAAATATCAACAAGAAATAAAGCTAAATCCCAGACATTTTAGACATGTTTCGGTCCCAAAAAATACAACAAAGCCAGGAAAAGGAGGAAGTATGGTCAGCCTAGTATCACATAGTACACCAATGTTTTTGGGATGAAACATTGCCCAAAAATTTATGAACTCGGGGTGCTGATGGCTCCCATAGTCCAGTTTTAATCCCTTAACTCTATATAGTTTTCACCAAATTCAGTGGGTATATGAGGAAACTAGCAGATTCTGCCCATTTCATATCACTCCGTGGAACCATTACTCAATAATGTGTCACTATCCGAGCCTAATTATTTTACACAAGTCAGCATTTCCCGTATACATATAGAACGTTCGCCAGCATAGGCAACAGCTAGGGCTACACCTTAAGAGGGGGTGCCAATTTAGCAAGTCAATTTCACTTAATCTTGAACGATGGGGTGCCGGCGATGAAACTTGCCTAGGGCGCCTCATGAACTTCGATCGACACCTAACACACTGTGCAAAACGCCAGACAAAGTGCAAATACAATATTGTATTCATTATTGAACAAATCTGGGTTACGCATGCTCCTCAAATGTACGAAAGGAGATCCCTTCTGAAACTTGCATCGTAATGGGGTCAAGTTCAGTCGTACGACTGGATCCGCAGCTCTCCGCCTTGCGACTTATTACTCCTAACAGGAAATCTGGATTTACAGCTTTGCACTCTGTCACAATAAGAGGTGTTAAATTTAAACCCAAGTATCTGCTTATACTAAAATCATGTTTCCTGTTTTAATTCATAATAAATTTAAATACAACCAGTGTAGTTCTGCTTTAGCCATGGAATTAGGCTACATATAACATATTACAGCAATTGTACAGATTAATTTACACGAACTCTAAGGAAAAAATACTATAAGTGTTGGGATTTTGGGTCAGTAGGTGGGAAAGTAAAGTTAGACTGATGAGCAAGTGAAGCTGACGAGGAAGATTAACTTTCTCCAGAGCAGAATAACACGTATTAACCTAGAAATAAACCAAACTCAAGGCACTTCAGACGGCAAAAAATTCACGTAAGCTAAAGCGCCTTCTGCCTGGTATCTACGATTTCTGCGTACAGTGCCCCTCCGTAACGCCGCTGGCGTAGGGACTGGAGCAGGGTCGTGCCAGGCCCCCTCCGGGCGCGCCATCCCAGGCCTGTTTTGCCCTGCTTTGCCCTGCTCCGGCTGGCCCGGCGTCGGCGCTCTTCGGGTTAGAGTAAGAGCTCACGGCCCCGCCCTCCGTCCGCCATTTCTCCGCTTCCAGCTTGGTCCCAGGAGGGGTACGCAATATCAACAAGGCGAGCGACGAGCGGGAGCCCGATCCGCCGACATTAAACCGTCCTCCGGTGAAAATAATGCGGACAGGAGCGGGAATAAATCCCGGGAAGGCACTGCCAGGTTAATAAGTGACAGATCACGGAGAGGGATCCTTATCTGTACTATCCGCTCGCTTGTTTTGCGAAGGCGCATTGCAGGCCGCCATTTTTGATCACTTCTTTTTTAAAGTCTGTAAGTGTACGGGAACAAAGCTGGTGTTACATTTGTACCGCGGTTACGACGGTGTAACTCGGGTCCACCGCTGTGAGTAGCTGGGGAGCAATGCGACACTGGGATCGCTTGGCCGGAGTAGTCTTTCTCCTAACGGGCTGCCCGGTTAACTGTACTCGGCTAGCCAGCTAGTTTTACGGGTTGCATTTTTTTGTTTTGTAACAGCGCGTTTATGGGCGGCCCGTTATGCTTTAGTTAGTCTCTAAATAAGCCGCGAAGGTCCGCCGGGAAACTGAGCCCGGAGTCCCCGTTAGTGTGAAAGCTGCCGCTCGCTCGTCGTCTGGCTGGACGGCGGGGGTAGCTGGCCGGACCGCGCGGTTCGAGGCGGGCTCAGGGTATTGCTAAGTGCGAACCACCCTAAAAATAAAGGGTCGAATTATATTTTTGGAAGGAAATTAGAGGGAAACTGATCTGCGGTTCGCTGATCTGCTGCTCATTCTGTTGGACTGCGGGCTGCAGCGAGCTCCGGTGCATCGCCGCTCATATCCCGTCACGGTTTTTTGACTTTATTTATTTGGGTTCGGTATACATACATAAAAATATATATATATAGGAAGTTTGCGTGCTGCGTTTGCGAAGCATGTCATCCGCGCGCTTCGACTCTTCGGACCGGTCCAGTTGGTACTTCGGTCCCGTCTCGCGCCAGGAGGCGCAAAGCCGGCTGCAGGGACAGAGACACGGCGTCTTCTTGGTCCGGGACTCCTCCACCTGCCCTGGCGATTACGTGCTATCGGTGTCGGAGAACTCCAAAGTTTCTCACTACATTATAAACTCGCTGCCCACCAAGAGGTTTAAGATCGGCGACCAGGAGTTCGACAGTCTGCCCGCCCTGCTGGACTTCTACAAGATCCATTACCTGGACACGACAACGCTCATAGAGCCGGCTGCCAGGTACATTTAAGTCCGGCTCTGGCAGGCCCCCGTTGGCTGCTTGACATATTGCAATCGTGCAGGTATCGTCCACCTGCTGCACTTGCAGCTAAACCGTTTCGTGTTGCTGGCAGTTTGCATCTTTTAAACCGATGCGAAAGTTTCCTGAAACGTCTTTTCTGTCCCTGGTTATGAACTAATCAGATGAAGGCAGTTCATTGGCGGTTGTTGCCAACGAACGTGCATCATGATTAGTTAATTTTTAAAAGCTCAATTTACAAAATGTATGCATGGAGGAAAAATTTAAATCACTGTCAGTTAATTGTGTGTATGTTTTCGTCAGGCGTAACAATGATGGCTGGCATAGTTATAACGGTGAATGCAAGTGTACGTCTTTCTTTAGAATATTTACGGTACTTGTGGTCTTCAGAGTTTACCAGAAAAGCTAAATGACAACTGATTGTTCAGATGTGCATGTCTCTGTGCATGGGTGTAATGCACACATTAACATCCTGTTTTGAAATAGACTGTTAAAGATGAAGCCTCAGGAAAAAAAAGTATCACTTGTTACATTGCATTACACTTCAGCCAGCGATTGCAGCACGTTCGTGGGACAGGAAGCATGGCAGCATCTCATTCATTAATGGCACTGGCTGAAGGGAAAAGGAAGAGCGGGAGAGGCACCAGCTGCTGTCACAGGCTTCCTGTGCCCAAGGAAACTGCAAGAGACCGTTTTCTGCTTCATATTAATACCCGTTTAGGCTTACATAGATGAGTTCCTGGGTTTTTAAACAAACAAGTCATATTAACATGTAGATCATGAGGGGAGTAGTTGGATCAGAACTCAGGGATAAGTTGGAGCAAATTTCCCAATATCCTAATTCAGGGGTCTCCAACTGCAGTCCTGGAGAGCTACTGCCCAGTAGTTTTCTAGCCTAGTTGGCTTCTCATGAGCCAACTCATCTCAGGTAAATACCAGGAACAAGTGTGGCTCATCAGAAGCCAACTAGGCTAGAAAACTACTGGACAGTAGCTCTCCAGGACTGGAGCTGCAGACCTCTATCCTAGTTTATTGAGTCACTTAATGCAAATGAATTGTGCAGTTTACATTATGAACAAGCAGCCTGTGCTTTAGATTAACATGATGTGGCCAGCGACAAGGCAAGCTAGGAAAGCTGAATGTTTGCTGAGGGATTGACCACTGCCTTGTCTAGCCTTTAATGTGATGTGCAGGGTGTTAGGATCTAACGAGATGTGGAATTGCACTGGTGGGGCGGATGCCATGAGTCTTTGGCACGTCAAAGCCTGGCTTCCTGTGTCACGGTGGGCTTGGCCTTCACCAGCCTGTGATGTCATTCCCCTCTGCTGCCAAGTCATCGTTGGTGTGCCTCAATTCTCGTCACCTGTGAACTGGGGCTATGTTGGTGCCCATATGTTCTTAACGTCTGTAAACTGCAGTAGCTGGTTCTTGCTGAAGCTGGAAGAAAGTTTCCTGAGCGGTCTGGAATTTCAGCGGCCTTTTTCTATGTATTTTTAGGCGATCGTGTGTGTCTGTATTGGTTTGCAGGCCTCTAGCAGATTTAGCCCAGTTCTGTTGGGTCGTACTTGCCCCCCTGTCTGTTTGAATGATGCTTTATTTGCCATTTGCACAAGTACAGGTATTTGGAATGCTTCTTTTCACAAGTCCTATCTTGCTGTCCTTTGAGGTGAATCCGAGTGCAAGGTCAGGCTATTTATCCCACACCCCTGGCACATTTTTAGGGGATTAACTGGCCTTGCTCAAGTGCCCGACGGCGATGTGACTATTGTGCGAAGACCGAGGCTCAGACCAGCAACCTTCTGATCACAGACACAGAGACTAAGCCACACACTGCCCATGTATTTACTGACCCTTCTGTACCCCCCCCCCCAGGTATGTTAACCCCGCAGTGAGCAGTAGCCCAGCGATGCCGCTGACTGGCTTGGATGAGAACCTGGAGTATGTGCGGACTCTGTACGACTTCATGGGCAACGACGCCGAGGACTTGCCCTTCCGGAAGGGCGAGATCCTAGTAATCTTGGACAAGCCGGAGGAGCAGTGGTGGAGCGCCCGGAACAAAGAGGGCCGTGTGGGCATGATCCCTGTGCCCTACGTGGAGAGGCTGGTGCGCTCCAGTGCTCACCCAGGCACCCTGCCCCATGGCAGCCGTAATTCCAACAGCTATGGGTTCCCCGAGCCAGCCCACGCGTACGCACAGCCCCAGACGCCCTCACCCCTGCCGGCCGGGCCCGGTCCCCTGCCCTCCACGCAGAACGGCCCCGTCATGGCCAAGGCCATCCAGAAAAGAGTGCCCTGTGCCTACGACAGGACTGCCCTGGCGCTAGAGGTAGGGATGGCCCACCTTAGGTTACTGTAAAGTAGCGGAAGCTTCAGTAAGGTCACACTGTGTATTTTTAGGGTGCACTGGGGGATTTATATGCTAGCTATCACTGGGCGTTTGAAGCCCTTGGGTTTTTACCTTTAGGTGTTGGTGTGAGAATTTTACTGGGGGGGAGGAGTAACTTATCTGATTGCAGTTAGCTAAAAATACGTTGCTGGCTGCAAGTTATTAAGCCGGGGCCCCAAGACAGATTATTCATAGCTGCATAGCTGCAGGATTGTGCAGCGAAGCCACTCGACCATCAGCCCGCCATCAGCACAGAGCTGCATGCTCAGAGCTTGAAGGTGTTTGCAGGTCTGCGCCTCTGTTTACTGAGTGTTTGCGGTTTAGTCATGCCTGCCTGTGGTCAGCCAGGGGACACATTAAGTTAAAAAAATCAATGAAAACCATAAAGCTGGGATAGTTCACTTTGGCCAGAATATACCTTGCAAGTTCACATCATCTGGATGAGGTTCTTTGCGCACACACACACAAACAAACACACACACACACACACACACATATATATATGGGTTTTCTCTTCCCAGACAGACTCATATTTTGCACTTTTTCGTGATGCCCAGGTAGGTGGTCGTCACTGAGCTGTGGATTTGAAATCTTCACTTTGCTGGTTTTATTAAGCAGGCTTCATGTTTGTGTTTTGGGGGGGGATAGGGGGGGTTGCGCACTTATAAAGGTCTTTTTATTGCTGACTCATAAGTTTGTAACCACGCAGGGGGAAGAAACAATTTAGTTACGATGTGCGTGTCTAATTTTTACTTTTAGAGTATGTAAATTGTGTATAGAACATGTACATTACATTTTTAAAGGTCTTTTTCCCCCTGAATGAAACACATTTACATGTGTGGGTGTGAGGGCTGTTGACTTTTTCCCCCCCTCAAAGTGCACATCATTTTCCAACTAGAGTATCTAACTGCTCCTCATACAGCAGTGGGCCACAGTAACTTCACAAGTGATGACGTTACTGGTAAAATTAGCTGCGCTGGAAACGAACCTGTGGCTGTTCTTGAAATTGAACTGGGGCTCTGGATGGGTCGGGAAACAACCTATGAAAATGTCAGCAATTCAGCCGCTTGCCTCGTGATCGGTGGCAGATGGGGATCATAAGCAAGGACGGATGGGCTTTTTTTTTCCCCACCATCGCCTGCGGGTCTGGACAGACCCGACCAAACGATCGGAGGTGCCGAGCGAGCAGGTGGCGCAGTGGTTATTGGCGTGGAGTGGGTGAAACCCCGGGCACCGGTGATGATCCTGCTTAATGGGGGCGCTTATTATGGATATTGTCAGAAAATGTAGATATTTTTTGTGTGCCACACAGCACTAGAACATTGGAGCACTAAAACACGTGCTAAGAAGCATTAGTGCTGCGGCGTAAACACTCAGGATGCCAGCGTTGCCTGTTAGGGTTAGCCCAGTGTGACTCCCACAGAGCACTGTTGTCCCCTCCAGGTCTTGATCACTTCTGCTCCGCGACAGATTTTAGTCCGAAAAAAAATAAATGTGCCGCCGGGAATGTGATATTTAGTCCAAGGCTGGTCGGCTGACCTCAAATCAGATTAGTGTCTTTATCTGCAGGTGATCCTATGAGCTGTTCAGCATTGGGATAGCTTTAGACATCCCTATTTCTTCGTGTTTACTTTCATCTGAAGCCCATAATTCTTAGTTAGTAGAGATGCACGGATTGCAATTTTCTTGGCCGATTCCAATTTTTTCTGTAAGTGTGACCTGCCGATTCCGATTTTCTTTCTGAAAATTATAATTGACAGGATATACAAACTAAAAATTCTTCAATGCAAAATTTTGTTTTCATAATAAATTAAATTGTTATACTTTAGAATTTCCCCCAAACTGCACTTACAGGGTCTTCTCTCACTTAAACAAGTCTCAGGGTAAAGTGCTCTGGTTTGGAAAACTCTACAAATAACAATTAAATGAAAATGAGCTGCTGTACACCCAGCTTTATCTGACATGTTTGACCAAACAAAAGCAGGTGCAACAGATTTAAATAACAAATGTCAGTTACTTATAACATTTTCCAATATGTTTAAATTCACCATATAACACAACATTGATCTTTTTCTTTTCTTTTCACTCATCTTAAAATGCACAAATCCATAGGTTACAAACCTCCAAATCAAACTGAAGTGTGCCATTCTCTTCCAAATAATATTAATACCAGCATCGCACGTTATGCACATAAAATTCTTACATCGCTAGTAAGCTAGATTGTCAGGTTTTTTCATACCTTCATACTGTATGGACAATATAACACAGGGGGTTGAAGTTTTTGCTAAAACAATTTTACTCTGCCGTAGGAAAAAACCTTTGCTAGCTTTGCAGTTTTAATTATTATTCCTTTTCAAGATTATCCAGTATATGTTTGAAAATCAGTTTAAAGTTCACCTCTGATGTTTCACCATATTTTCATGGTGGGTCCCCCGCGGTTTACTTTGGCTTTACATGTATTACAAATTGCAGTCTTTGTGCCATGTTCACTCACAGTGAAGAACTTCCACGCTAACGATATGTTAGCGTGTGGCTATGAGTGTGCACGGGGCCATCAGGCTATCGCCTGCACCGGTACATGTGTAAAATGGACCGGTTCAGTATAGGAGATACATGAAACTGATCGACTGGTCTACGGTCTGGGCCAGCACGCTGAAAATTGGCTGATTTCGATCCTTGGCTGGTTGATCGGGGCATCTCTGTACGTTAGCTGCTTTTTTTATTTTGATTTGCTTTTGACAAAAATGAGTAAACAAAATTATGAAAGCCTGGTCTAATTTGTAAATGATACCAGGTGATTGTTTTACTGGCACTGTCTTTAGGATCCGTAGGAATCTTCGAAGTTGCAAGAATTATGTGGTGTGATTGGGCTGTAAGCAGATTGCATTTCTCATAGATCAATATCTGCTGGACTCCTAAGTCTTTCTAGATGTGCATATTTTACTCTCCATATAGTTCTAAAACATACTGAAATATCTACTGATGGTTTTAGAGGTTTCAGTAACTTTGATGGTGGAAAAATGGTGCTATTATCTGGATGTGTAAAATGTGATTTCATTTGTGGTATGAACATAGTTATTTCAGCATTTCAGGAGAAGTTTCCCTTTAAGTGAGGGTAATGGTCTAGACCAGCGGTGGCCAATCTTATCCGCAAAGGGTCGGTGTGTATGCGGGTTTTCGCTGCAACTCCCTAATTAGATTACTAATTAGAGGACTGATTGGAAAAAGAGTCCTCACACCTGGGTTTGAACAGCTAACCTACAGGTTATCCCAAAAACCTGCATACACACCGGCCCTTTGCGGATAAGATTGGCCACCCCTGGTCTAGACGGTGCAGCAGGATTATTCCATGTATACATAATTTTAGTACTGTGCGTTGACTGTACAGGGATCTGTGACACATAACTAGGAAGATTAAATGACATTGACCTGCCACATACGGCATGTGGATGACTGCTGGATTTTGCTGGTTCTAGTTCTAAAGGCTCACCAGAACACAGGACAGGGCCCAATGTCAATGCACAAAATAGTTGTAGATACTAGATTTAGTAGATATTAACAGTAGATACTATGATTAAGAAGGTGGTTCATGCAAAGCGAGCCTCTGTGATTGCACTGCATCTATACTGACCCCTGTAAATTACCCAAATTCTTGAATTTTGACTGCATAATTTCTGGTAGTGGTAGACTATTCTCAGTCTCCCCTGATTATCCCCAGCCTCCCAGAATTTCCTGCTTGGTACCAGTGAAGTATTTCAGTCTCATATAAGAGACTGACCTGCTAATATTCAATAGGGGGGAAAGCCTCCAAATCCCATGGTCTCATTTCTTCAGACCGCTGTTAAGTGTTTTGTCTGTTGGGGTGAGTAACCATGGGAGTATTTACTCTTCCAAATTGTTCCATTGAAGTGCGGTGTCTGTGTGCTGCTAGGTATGGATTCACAGAGATCCTAATCACAAGCTCATGTAGCATAATGATCAGCCTACTTTTTTTAAATAGCTTATTACATTTGTAACACATTGTTTTAACAGCATCAAATGACCTTCCAGCAGGATATAGATGGATGTCCTTGTACCCTTATGAACCATGCAAAACCTTTTTTTTTTGGGGGGGGGGGGGGGGGGGTTGGTCGATCCAGGCTAATCTGAAGTCATATTTTCCATGCATGCAAAACACTGGATGATGCAAAAATGGTGTTTAGTGGTATTGTGCATCCATTCATGCATTCATTGAAGTATTTGAATTAAAGTGTTTTAAGTGGTTTTTAGATTTTCATGAAATGTGACCCACCCCTTTCCATTTTGCTGTCCTCTCCTCAGGTGGGGGACGTGGTCAAAGTGACCCGGATGAACATTAGCGGCCAGTGGGAAGGCGAGGTCAATGGCCGCAAAGGGCTCTTCCCCTTCACCCATGTGAAAATAATCGACCCACAGAATCCGGACGAGAACGAATGAGACGGCGCCCCGTGCCCTCCCGACTCCCTCCGCCATCGGCCGTGGCGTGCCGTACCGCTGTGGGGAACGCAGCTGTTTACATGACGTTCATGGAAATCAGTGTTCGCTAGCCGCTGCTCCCAAGCTCTGCTCCTCAAAACAGCCGTTTACCTGTTGCCTAGCCACAGGTTCACCCACCCACCAAACCCCCCCACTTTCACCAGTATCAGGTGAAGTGTGCACTGTTGCTCTGGTGCAATGTTTGGTATGCTATTTTTTTTCTTCCTTCAAGCTGCCTGAGCTTTTGCAGGTAAGATTACAAGTCTGGCTTCGCTAGTCAACCAGGGAAGCTTTTAAACAGTGAAAGTTAAAAAAGAGAAAAGGAAAAACTCGAAATAAAGCAACGGTCCCATGGTCTCGTGCAGCACCGGTGACGCTAAAGCACGTGAGAGCGCGTATGTGGGCACGTGATGCAGGTGATGGTTTTTATATCTTTGCGGACACATCCTTGGGTTTGAATGAGGAGGACTCATCCCAAGTGTGGCGTTGATGGAGTCGCAACTGGGGGGATGTTGTAGGTTCAATGGAGACCCTTCTGCCCGGACTGAAAATGCTGAAACTGGGAAAACACGGAAATTATGAAACCGCAGAAACCCAGCTCACGAACTTTAATCCCCCACCCCAGACTACATCGCCTTATACCTAGTTGCGCGAATATTCACACCAACTGGACGTTACTGCTTTCATAAGGCCGCTGGTTGCAGTAAAAGCAGAACTAGTGGCATTTAGCACGGAACTAGTTGTAAAGCATTTCCTACTCGGTGACGTTTTTTTCTTTCTGCTGCCAGTTTGGTTTTAGTAGTGAAAGGATGACTTGAAACAGTCCAGTTGGTTTAAATCGCGCGGGGGAATAAACGTTAAGATGCGCCGTATTCGCGGCTGTTTATGCATTGCTTCGGGTTAAAGCAGACGTGTCAGCCTCCCCTTCTGCCTAAAACCCCTGCTTGTTTTAAGATTTACGTGTTCATACCAGATATAAACCCGCAACAATGTGGGGGCGACTTGCTGTGAAAATATGAATATCTTTAAAGGCAGACTGCCGGAGCGCTGAAATCTAATTCGGGTTTTGACCTGATATGAACAGTAAACAGGCGTCATGTCCCATCTGACTGAAGTCGTTTTTGTAGGCTGTCACGTTATGCTCTTCATGATAAAAAAAAAATACGACCTGTGCCATCAATCTCCCGAGCTTTCCCCCTATTTTCCCGCTAGATCCTTACTGCAGGATGCGATGCCCCATCCTTAACCCGCTAGCTTCTTGTATCGTGCACTAAACTAACGGCGACGAACCCGCAGGAGCCTCAGCCCGAGGATACCGCTTTTAATTCTGAAAAAAATGGAGATCGCCTGCAAGTGGCTGGCTTGCATGATGCTCTGACCCGCTTTTTAAAACCAAGCTACGCGTTCCATCTGCCGGGAATCGCCTTATCATTACTTGTGCAGTTCCTCATCTCTTTAGTCCTTCGGATCAAGCAATATTACAGTTTCTAGTTTTTAAAAAAATAGGTATTTTAATTTCTTTTAAAAACATTGAGGATTGAACTATATGCCTTTTGACATTAACAGTATTACTGTGCTTTTTGTTTATATTTTATTAAAAAAAACTAAATTGTGCCTTTTATTTTCTTACATTTACATGCATCACATGGTTGGTAACGTGTGTGTGTAAACTCATGTACAGTGCAAGTAAATAAAAGTGTTAACTTGTAGTTTGTGTGTGCTTTTGTTCATTTGTACGTCGTTTCGGCAGATGGGGACTCTGAAATGGAGCACAGCGGTTATAAACACTTATTATAACACAAATTGGAACACAACTGCTGCTTTGTGGACTTGCCCTGAGGGGGGATGGCGAGCAATTAAGGATTTCTAATGAGAATCTATAAACGGAGCTGTGGAGACTGACGAGCGTCAGCGAGAAACTTTTCAAGGTCGAGGCTCCTAGTCGAATGCCCGAGCAACGCCATGCGGGAACTTTCCAGAAGGACGGTGGCCGTTAGTATTTGGGTGCCTTTCTGTACATCACGGGTGGCTCGACTCATCTCACATCAGGAAACCGACTCTTTAACTACTAGCATGGTAGTTTATCATCTTGATGAGTTTGAGACGAAGGTTGCAGTTACGTATCTCGACACTTGCTGTTTTCCTTTTTATGAAGACCCAATGTCTAGTTAAGCAAACATCCGGCTTTTGAATAGTGCATAGAATAGAAGGCCTTTATTGTCATTGTAAAATTTACAACGAAATCATGAGTACTACTCCAGCTGGGTGCATAAAAAATCAGACGGCAACAGTACGGAGTAACAAAAACAGTATCACCTCATCTCTTGTGAGTATATCTCACAAGGAAAAACAAATAGAAAAGTTTGAATTGAAATTGCACTCGCCCACAATAACAAAAATGAAAGATGCCGTTCCACTGAAGGTATTGCACGAAAATAGCAGCAGGATGTATGCACAGTAGTAACCAAGAGTTGTTTAGTCAGATTTAACAGTGCTTGTTTGTATCCAGTCTACTAATGGCCATTGGAAAAAAAAATACTATACTCCTGAGTATAAACAATACATGTCAATTATAAAGTCAAAGTCGTCCTAGATCAAAATATATGTATACCATACAATAAGCAATAGACATGCACAGTTTTTCTTATCAGCGAAAGTTTCCATTTTTATTTTTCATATATTTGTGGAGAATGAAGTTCAATAAGAAACCATTCTGCCCTCTGGATAGAGCTGCCAGTCTGTTTACTTTCAGTGTTTGTGTCAGTAGCTGCTATAGTGCCCCCAGCGGCCGGGTCGTGTATTTTTGATGGGCTGCAGTACGTCGATCCTCTCTCATTAATAAGACCTCAGCTGTTGGGTTTTGATCCGGTGACAAAACATGCTACCTATCGAGACGTGCTATCGAGCCTTTCTGCGCATGTCCAGTTCCACCGTTTTGGGATTAGGGTTAGGTTTTAGGGGTTAGGGGTTCTTGGGGGGTTAGGGTTAGAGCTATCGATTAGCACTACGGTAGCATGTTTTGAAAAAGTAGGACGTTTTGTCAGAACACCGGGTTAATTCCACGGAGAAGCATTATACGGCTCGTTTGCATGACCAAGACTATTATATTATAAATTATGTGCTGCATAGTGATTTTTGTTATGTGACTAGATAGATAATACAACGTAACTACGTTGCTTAGCTAGGCTGTTTTCTTGAATGTGTTGGTTACACCGTTTACGTAACAGGTAAAATAAGTCGACCACATTGTATAATACTTGTTCATTTTTTTTAAATACTACGAGATGTGTTGCAGATACAAAGTTATGAAGTTCATAATAAGTAAAAGTCCCATGAGATGATCAGCGTCAGCGAAGCAGCAGATCTGACAGCCGGGCCCACGATTCTAACTGGGGGAGGGCTGAGGCGTCGTTTGTAATGGACGTCGTTTATTGACGTTAGAAATTGTCGACGGGGGCACTGACTCCAAAATAAGCTGTAACATAACTTATTCATTATGTTTTTGTCTGTTTTAAGATAAAGTTTTAAGTAAAAAACTAAAATTAAAGACTGATGGGCCGCTGATGCCCCCCATCACCCCAACCCTCTAGCAGCTTGCTGATGTCCTGCCTGTTGCCGTCGTCCAGTTTTCGGCAATGCAGCCGTCTGACCACAAGGGGGCCGTATGTCACCCAACAGTATACCTGTAGAGAATGTATATTTAGCAAAATCGGATTTTATGTATAAATAAATCATGAACGAACAATTTTACAGCCCATTAGAAAGACAAAATGGCAATTCATTTCCATTAGTCTTATGATGCAACTTGTAAATGTGTCTTTAAAATACCAATACTTACTTAAACCTATAAATAGTCATCCATAAACTAGACAGTCGAGTTGGCGATAACAGTTAGATTTCCCAATAATACAACTTACATATGAAACATAAGGAAAGTGACACAGAATAACAAAATGCTTATCAGTGGTTCTCTGCATTCCCTAAAACCAATAAATGGGCAACATTATGTGTTTCATTTACTTTTCAATTGCAGCTGTTTGACACTTTTACTCACTGTGCAGCTGTGGCCATGCTCTAGTGACAACAGTGACCTTTTAACTTGAGTCAGTTGCAAATGACTTATTGTTTTTATACATTCAAGCACAGATCACTCACAGTTATGCATCTTCCTCTTCACTGTGATCCTCCTTAAATTTAGGGTGCAACAGCTGGTTAATCTCCCAGCACTTCAACCTGCAACCTTTTGTTCACAAGTCCAGCTCTTCAGCCTTATTTACAGCAATGGTTTTGGAGCTGGGGGTTGGTCGATTGATTAGAGTGGTAGTGCTGAGTGGCTGATTAAGGGGGGGTATGTCCTGCTTACTTCTGTTCTCTCCCCCTGCCCTGTCTCCAGCAGTTCCTCCCCATTTGGCTGTATGCACCACTGACTTTATGAAGGTTGACTTCCTCTGCATTAAGAGCCCCCCAACCCCAACTCCACCCCACCTCTGAGGCTCATCTGTTTTATCTGCAGCTGTCTGGAACCCCCCCCCCAAAAAAAAAAAAAAAAAAAAAAAAAAAAACAACAACTGGGTCAGCCCCTGCCCTGTGCTCTTGTGTGGCCTCTCTCTCTCTCCACTTCCTGTTTTTATATTACCTAGTTTTGATTTTCATTTATATTTGTGATGGTATTTTCTGGGTGTGATGACATGAGACAGGTAGAGTTATGGGTCTTCATAACTCCGGGAGCAGTCCTGCAATTGTACTGTAGATACTGAGACAGAATGTGGTTTGTTTCAATTGCTTTAATATATAAAATGTTCATTTTTGGGCAAGCAGTTAACGGTTGATCCGTCTCTGTGTCTCGCTGGATCTTCACTACCGCGTACCACATTGTGAGCTTTGTGCTTCCCGCTCTGTCCTTCCCTGCTGACGGTTCTGTCCACGGCGTCTGCATTGACGCGGCAGGTTCTTCCACGCTGAGGCACAGGGACGGAAACGTCGTTGGCCGTTTGTTAGTGTGAAGTGCTGTTTGCTAAGTGACCCCCAAGGCAGACCACAGACACATCCACACCATCTTGTGTTCCTAAAACAGGCATTAGATAGGTGCCATTAAACAACAAGGCCAATTCATTGCCAGACTACCACCCTGGGACTCATGGAAATGGATCCGATTCATTCGTTATGCTGGCAATCGATTCAGGCTGCTTTGTTGTCCATTATCAGGGCACTTGGAGGCTCGTTGGTTTCATTGTGACTCTGCCTCCCCCCCCCCCCCCCCCCCCCACTGGAACATGTACAATGGACCCCAGCCACTAAGGACCCTGGGTGTAATTACAGCGATGTTGGGCTTGCTGATGCTATGTCAGTAGCTCCGTGGTGTGCGGTGTTGTGGCTTGACCTGCAGGTCTGGAGGGTCCTGGAGCTTTGATACCTTCAGTTATCCCCTTGCAAGACTGTTACATGTGGCGACTGTCCATAAGGTCTCATGCTTGACTTCCCTGCAGCATAACTTCTATTTGGGAACTTGTAGCTCTCGCCAGCATGCAGTGACTCAGTGGCCTCCAGGGATGTGGGTTTGATTCCTGTCCTGATATATTTGCATGTTCTCCTCAGTGTTCATTCTTTTAGGAAATTTGCTTCTTCACTGCAGTCCAAGACATATATCTTAGGTTGATGTTGGTGTCTCTGAGTTGCCCTACTGTGATGTACCCTGTTATGGACTGGTATTCCTTCCTGCCTTGTATCCTGTGCATCCTGGGTTGGGTTCCAGGCTGCCTGTGACCTTGCACTGGCTAATCACTTATGGAAGATTTTCCCATAGACTCTTGGTTTTAGAGCTAGTTGTTTTTTAGTTCTTTGACTGTTTTGGCTGATTGCCCTGGGTACAGTCAAACTTCACTTTATCCTGTCTATGCAGCTCCATTGCTTTGCATATCTTATATTACTGCACTGAATTTTAATGCATTTATACATTCATTCTTGGCGCTTGGGCCGTGTCCACTAATCAACCTTCTGCTCTCCTGACAGAAACATGTTTCAATGCTCTGAAGCAAGCAGCACCATGTTTAGTAGTTAGGAGGCTGGGAACTGGGTCTGAGTTTGAAATGGCGCAAATCCACATCCCAAGAGAGGTTGTTGTACCCTTAAGCGAGCTACTGTTTGCATGAAATGGTTGCTAAGTAAGCACCGACTTGCAATCTGCTTGATTTTCTTTTTATTATTAGATATTACTAGCGTCATATCATGAAGAAAGTGATTTTTACCTGAATTGTTTGGTCAGATATACAGTTGTGTGAATTTGGGTAAAGTTTTAAGGTATTAAAAATGGTGAGGTTTGCTCCACTACTGGGTAAATAAACCATAAAAAGGGCTGTGAGATGTTCTGAACAAACATAAACAGAAAAGGCACTTGACGTATTATTGTGCTGTAACATTGTTCTTGTGAAAGGTCAGCTTGCCGTCTTGGTGTTGGGAGATTATTGGGAGAGGTGTGGCAGCCCATAATAACGCGTGTGCGGCGTGTGAGCGGGCAGGCCTATCTCTCTGACAGGATGGGGGGAGCAGAGGGCCGGCCGCCTGCTCATCATTAGCATGCTGGTGAGAAGGCAGTGTCTGGACTTACCTGGCGAGGCTGCCCTGCCAACCATGTGACCATTCCACAAAAGCTCCTCACCCCCTACTTCTAACAGGAACATTTTAAACCCCCCCTTATATATGCTTGACCATG